AGGGCGTCCCGTTTTCTTTTCAGTTCCTCAAGGTATTTAGACCAAAACACTCATCTTTTCAGTTCCTCAAGGTGTTTAGACCAAAACACTCGATAGTGTTTAGTCTTGCCTCTGGGAATAGTTTTCTTTGCACATCTTATCTAAAAATCAGAAATTAGAGTTCCACCACTACCTAAGTTACGTTTGTAAAAAAATATGTCGCTATGCTAAAATAGCGTTAAATGGCACAATTGTTTCCGTTTAATTGTAAGAAAATGAGGGAGTAACTGAAGAGATGTTATAAAGTGATAAACTTATCCATCACGGTAAGAATCAATTCACGAACGTTAACCTTCAGACATTATACGGTGAATTAACTTCCCAAATTCAAACAAGGTGAAATTCTCGAAGCCTGCTTCGTTTAGTCCCCATTAGCCCCCCCCCCTTTGTTCAGACGGTTTTTGCGGTGAAATGGTGCTCACATGATTGAACCAATGAAAAACATGCGCGCTAGAACATATTGGGACGAGTTGTGCGGCACTTATGCCTTCGCCTGCCACCAAGTTGAGCCATGCCACCGATCACATGAGGGGTTGTGAATGCAGAGACCTCTCGTTCACGGCGTGGGCAGGGTGTAGGCAAGATTGTATTCAAGAGCTTATCTCCGCGTCAGTCAGACCAGGCAAACTCCAGGTAACTTCGGGAGCCTTTTCATAACAGAGAATCTTGCTATAGAAATTACTGAGAATAAGTCATGGATCTTTCACATATCAAACTGCCACTCTTTATATTATTAAAACTTGTTGAATTTTGTGTTACTTTTACCATTAATAACCAGGATTAAAAATCTGAAAATTTGGACTGAATTATACCAACTTACGGTTACGCAAACAGATGCTGATCGCCCATTAAACAGGATTTATCTCCCCCATTCTTCACAAATTTTATCCGTGTTCATACAATAATATTGGAAATGCATAACAACTTAATACAATTAAGTGAATTGTACCACAACAACTGTCATTCGTAAGGTGTGTTTTATGAACTCGAACATTGGACTTTCGAATTTGATGATTTTTGACCTAAGAGTGTACAGTAACTTTAACCTACATTTTCGAAATGCCCTTTATTATAGGTGCAACATAAAACAGGAATCAATAGAAAGGGTCAATTCTGAGTCATCCGAAATCACGTACTATAATTGGTTTCCGAATATCATTAGCTTTAAAAAAATCAAAACAGAAAAAGGGCAATATCCAGGCGCAGAAATAAGTGTTCATGGAGTCCTACGCAGCGATAATAAAGGCTAAGTCCTGATCCAGTCATGGAGACAAAGATATAAAAATCAATATTCTTGAATTTAATTTGGTTGCAGATCATTAGCAACCAATGTTTTTTTCTGGAGATGAGGGTTGCCTTTATTTCAACATTTCCTGTGCCCCAAAGTGTTTAGAAAGAAAGTAATGCTATTTCACACATCGCTTTCTCCTCCCAAGTAATGAATCCTATTTTCCGAACGCTTACATTCACTGACGTACTAAAGTCGGCGCACATTTCAACTTATAATTAAATTCTTTTGCAAATAATACCTTGTTTGAAAAGTTTTCAAAAATATTTCTTACACTTTTTCCCCAGTTTGACTCCGCCTAGTAATAATTTCGGCAATCAATTTCAGCTGATATATATATATGGAACTAAATTCCAACAATATTTCTAAATTGTCCGAAAATGAAAATTAATGAAAGCAAAATCAGTGAAACAACACTGGTTTATATGACAAGTAAAATAGTTAACAGACAATTTACACAGAAGTCGCACAAAAATGCATAAGGAAGAATGCTGTTAAGTGATATTGTAGTGAAAAATTGGGAAAAGCAGTAAAGGTGGAGAGGGAGACAATGGGTCAACGAATTAGGTCAATTGCTTACTGTTGTCCGCCGATATTGAGTGCGTGTTCCAACTCCTGCCTACGTTGAACAACCTGAAAAGAGGATGAGGTGGATGAAATTGGGCTGAAGAGCAATTAGGAGTGTACATAAATCTAACACAAGGTAACACATCTATTACTGATAACACCGATTTACGCTGAGATTCAGCTCAAAGAATCAATTCACTTGAGGTACAACGTTTGCAGGAGCAGAAGTAGGTGAAGGCTATTTCAATTATACTCCCGTAGAAATGCTATTAAAGAAAGAAAAGTTCTGTGTTGCTCTAAAATTCTACTCTGGATATCAACCGTAAACCCTAACAAATAGGTAGAAATTATGTTGATTAAAAATTGTGTTCTTATGGCTTTAGCATTTACCATTTTTTTTCTCATCTAAGAAAATAAAAATGCAAGTTTAACTATAAAGACCTGATTCTAATCAAGTAATAAGCAAAGGAATTATATGTATCAGAGAATAAAAATAAGAAAGGACACATTTCCAAAGATTACTCCCAAGTGACCTTCTTTCATTTATCGAAAGAGAAACTGGAGCAAAGCTTTTCATTGCTCTCAGAAACAAAGCTGGCGAAAACGCAGCAGCTGGTATTTACATAATAATTTAACTAATACATCATAAAAATGAATTGGTAACATATGGGGATAGAAATAAGATGTAATTACCAAAACCATATTGGTTAGCGAGGTCTGCGATAGACTTACCTCCACGTGGTGTATCAGGGGTAACGTATACTCATACGGCAAAAAAGCCTATAAACCGGCAGTTGACTTCTCACTTCAAACTACCACGACCCCCCTGGTTGTCATATTCGACCCCTTCCACAGTGCTCACCTTACCTTTTTCTCTACCTTTCTGTCTGTCTGTCTCTTTTACATCTGTGAAATACTCTTCTCCCCCCCCCCCCCCCCAACAATCGAATTTTTGTGGCTTTGTCTGTTCCTATCCTTTGTGATGCCCGAAGTCAACTAAAGGACTAATGATAATTATCATAAATTCTGCCATGCCATCTGATATAGATAAATATTGATTAGCACCATTCTGCTAATTCTGTAGGTGTTCAAGGAAAATAACGCGTTTGTTTACCGTTATGACCACAATAACCCCCCAAAATAATTGCAAATATCAAACTCAATAAAAAACGGAACTTCCGTGTCTCAAACTTAACCAGGGCAACGACCAAACAATTCAGCACATTTTGGCAAATACTTCAACTTGATAAATACTCAGCAATCAAATAAAATTTCCGTATTATCTTAAAGTTAATCTTGATTTTTGTCCAACCTCCTCTACCCACGCCGTATTCAACTCTATTCTGGCAACAGTTTATTGTTTATAGGTATTTTTAAGTTGATGATAGATACCCAATATCTCCGTAATCTACAATAACACTAAAATACTGACTCATTTAAGTTCATTAACTTGTCGATCAGAAGCAACTTTTCATCTCCTGATAAATAAAAAAAACAACCTGAAACTAGCAGGATATCCAAAGTAATTGATTGATAAGCAACTGTCAAGAAGAATATATATATATACAACCTTTAGGTATCGAAATGACAACTCGGGATTTTAAATGAAAGAAAAAAGAAAACTAACCCTTTGATAGAGGTAGCGTTTGATAGCCTCATGAACCCAAGGCTCCTCATAGAATTCAGCATGACGTTCCTGTTCAGGATGACCAGGTGTTGCGTCAGTCATTTGTTGTAGATCGTGAGACTGACTCGCCAACCAACGTGTAATAAAGGTGTGTGTATCTTGACTGAACTCCAAATAGAACTCGCGGTGTACCTTCATTTGATTGATTTGATCCACGAGTTCATAAATCTAAGGAAATAGGAAACAAAGTGAATGGATAGTACGGTTAATCACACCAAGATAATTGGTTCCATGTCAACTAAGTCAACTTTCTGGCATAGACCTTCCTCTATTCAACTCATCCTCCCAAGCGGAACAAGATGTATAGCAACATGACTACGTTATCACAAATAGTGCCTGGAATCATCGATTTCTTTTTAGAATTATCACAACTTTTCAGCCCTCCTTTGAATAATATGAATACTTTAAAATTTCGAAACTAATTCTAAACAAAAGATCGACCGTTACTATTGTACGTTTAGTTAAATCAGACGACAGTGATGAATCTGAAAGAAGCGGATTCTTGAATAACTTAAAAAATAAAGATGAAATGGATTTGACAAACATAACTTTTAATGCCACTAGTCGAATGACAACAAAAAAGAGGGGGGGGGGGCGAGAGAAAACTGGGATAAAAGAAGTGCCAGTGATGGGGACATGAGCTTAGAGTTGAACCACAAGGCTCAAAACAAGAAGGTCACAGCATGTCCATATGAAATAATGATGACAGAAAAGAAAAAGTCGTTAATGATTCAGATTCAAAATACAATGTCAGCTATAAATGCCGCTAATCTCACGTTTCCATTTCCATCTAACAGGAATTAATAGCAGGCTAATCTAACAGGAGAATGAAGGACATAAGAGAACAATAGCCTACGTGGATATGTCCAACTCCGTCATGCTTTCCTTAATTTTTTGTATGAAACATAGCCCGCAATTATACATTAAATTTCCATAAAAAATATTATTTAACAGTTACCTTATTATCAATAGCGGTCAGCTCCTGATTCGATTGGGTATTCTGGAGGTAATTCTGTACCATCGATTTGTAGGCATCATCCTAAGAGAAATATCAAAAGCATTAAGTAAAAAGTAGTAGAGTATAGTTGTGGAAACTATACTCGAAACATTGAGGTTAGAACGTACTACTTCGACTTCAATATCATAGCAGAGAGTTTTATTAGGATCCTCAGAATCGTTGACAATAACGTGATTGATAATGATAGGGTCAGGAGCTAGCTGCAACTGAATTAGACGACTCGGAATCTCCGCAAAACGCATTCGCGAACAGGCAAAGACCTGCTCCAAATATACGTCGCAGTTGATAAAGTCCTTTTCGTGCACGTCTTGAAGTCTGTAATTAAATAAATTAGAAAATATTGCAACTACTGATAGATATCTAAGTAAAACTGTTTATAAATAATATCACCAATAGGTTGAATATAGCTAATAACTCACCTGTGGACTTTGATATAATTCCAGAGAGCGTAAAAAATCTGAGATCTAGTACCAGTATGTAGACCTAAAATACGCGCCAAGCGAGGATCTAATTTGTACTGCGGTGGTTGATAATCCAACATCAGAATAATCGTGCAGCGAACGTTGCTATCGCCAGACCGTTTAACCTAGAGGAGAAAAGGATATGAAGAAAAAATTCACGGTAAAATGGGAAAAACCAAAGAGGAAAACTAACCTGGAAACCATCAGTCTCTTGAGTGGTAGCCGTACGATGCCATTCAACTAGATGGTTATCAGGACCATAGAGTTCGTGATCAAGTTCGATGACAAGAGACTTGAAAAAAGTGGAAAACTTGCGACGGAATTTCGTATCAACAACCGGTGGGCCGTTGGACTGTCCTGGAGACTAAAATGAAGGAGTCAAAACGAATAGATAACTATTAGCACGCAGTAGACCTAACGGCCTTAATTACTTCGCATTGGTCCAAAAATAAAATGAATACAGAAGAAACCGTTGCAACATTATTGACATACTCCAGCGCAAAATGAAATGCTGACATCAGCAGGCTGTTAAGATTATACAGGCAATCGAACAGCAGAATTGATTTAATGCAGTGCCCTAACATAGATAGTCAGAGAACATGCTGAGCCCTACACTCAAGACAGTATTTAAAGCCTAATGGAAAAGGAGGCCAGTGTAAAAATGAGGCAGGATATTAAGGAATTGGCGAGATTAATGACAGATAAATGATAGCATAAAGCTATCAGTGTCAAACTTGTGATAAGTCTATCCAAGCCCTCCTTTCTTAAATGGTAGAGTGATTGAAGACCAATGGAGTAAACAATATTCGTTTCACAAAATAGGACACGTAAAGTTACAGGTGATGAGCATGTATATTCACAATATCATGATTGTAAAGTGCGATTTGAAGTGGTCAGCTGCTAGTAAAGCGACATAGGTTTAGATAGAATTATTCACTTTGGGAAGCTAACATCCACCTAGCACAATTTTGAAAGGCTAAAATCTGTTAAGTTTGGCTGGTCAACCATGAGTAGAAAAAATAGTCATAAAACTAAAAGATAAACAGAATGGGTCCAATACCGAAGCAGAAGTGAATTAAACATATATTTCAATCCAAATCACTATGAATATAATAATGCAAGACATCTTGCTAGGTACATTTGATTAGGGATGTAATAAAAGATAAAAGAGGAACGATGTACAATACCTTTTCCAAGAGCTGACCCTCAACTTTCAATTCCCAACCTGGTGGGCAACCGTCATTGTTTGACTGACCATCAGGGCCAATAGTATCAGGATTCCCAGGTTTAAAAGCGCTACTCAGCATAACACGAAGGGTCCTTTTTGTCTTTTTTTAAGAAAAAGAATATTACAATAAAAAATTAGTAAACCTTAAGTGGCTGTTTAAGAGATTCTTGGAGAGTGAGACGTTTTCTCATGAGAACAAGATCCAGCTTCTTCTCAACCTCTAGCAACTCCATATAAGATTCCGATTCCGGAATGATTTGACGAACAGTTTTCGTCAATAAACGATCAGCCATGCGTCGCTTTTTCTTACTAAAAAACACCGGATATAAGCCATTGCAACGAACGAGATTAATAAAATTATTTCAAGAGCGATTACTTAAATTGATTCTTTGCAACCACATGATGCAAACGAGGGTCGTTGGGAAGGAGACGGCGTTGCTGCATGCTTTGAGCCGGAGGGCCTCGAGTAGGCGCTAAAATACATGATATCAAATAAAATAATATTTATAGTTAAATTTATTATAGGAGTGAAAAAGTCAAATAAGCAACTAAATAACGCATAACTAAATACATTAACTTATTCTGCAAAAGACTTGTATTATACGTAACGCTGCACAAATAACTCAAAAGTGGATTCTAAACCGAATTATTCGGACAAAAGGTGTTTAAAATTTGCAAAGAGAAAGTACAATGAGAGCTTACTATTGAAAGGAGGGCGGACATTGTGCTGAAGCGACATCTTTAAGAGAAATGACTAAAGATAAAAGGCACATGCGTTTGCAAATTTGGTTGGTCAATGGAAATGATAATAATAAACTAGATCAAATCTGTATCATAGGTAGAAAAAAAGTAGTTAGAAGGCCTAAAATGCTTCATTTTTAATTGGATTCTTAATAAGTGCCATAGACTAAACTTTGTTTTAATTTATTTAATAATCAGGCAAATAAATAGAACATTAAGGTCATAGCCTTGCAGTATGTCATCTGAAGATATTCCAGAACTCGTAGCAATTGAAGATGGTGATATTGGCTCTTTAGAGAAAGTACCTGTCACAGTTGTTACAGGATTCTTGGGTAGGATTTTTGTTAGTCTAGTTACGTGTCCCTAAGGTTCAGGTAAAACAACGCTAATAAATTACATTCTAACGGCTTCCCATGGTAAACGAATTGCCGTTATTCTGAACGACTTTGGGGAAGGATCAGCAGTTGAATCGACCACTTCATTAAGAGAAAATGCGTCTGGCTTATTTGAAGAATGGATGGAATTGAGAAACGGATGTTTGTGTTGCTCCCTTAAAGACCCTGGTGTTAAAGCTATTGAGAGTTTAATGAAAAAACGTGGAAAATTTGATTACATTTTATTGGAAACCACTGGCCTTGCTGACCCTGGTCCGATTGCCTCTCTATTTTGGTTGGATGAAAATTTATGCAGTCAATTAGCTCTGGATGGTATTGTAACTCTTCTTGATTCAAAGTACTGCCTCAAAACCTTATCAGAACACAATGAAACTGAAACTGTCAACGCCTGTGAACGGTTTGAATCTTGTAATCTATTACACTTTCTTTAGTCAAATTGCACTTGCAGATGCCTTGATTTTGAATAAATCTGATCTCGTTTCGGAGGAGGAAATGAATGAACTGGAGGATCAAATTAAGTAAACCCTGGTTTTTAAAAGTCATAAACATTTCAGAACGATAAATTCCACGGCTACAACCATACGAACCTCCTATTCGAAGTAAGTTGGGATTCCCCCTTGTTATACCAGTTTAGGATTGACCTTTCAAACATCTTGGATCTGAATATGTATTCCTCGGAGTAAGCTTGTCGATTTTTAGTTAACTCTTTCAGTACTGTCTTCGAAGATTTGAAGGCTTCTTTCATACCCTCTAAACCTCATCTTAACAATGTAATGCTACGTTAAACACTCATAATTACTTCATTTCTAGACAATAACCACAGTAACTGTAGATGAAGATTTCCAGATCGATCGTGCTAAATTCGAAGATTTTCTCGAAAGGATTCTATGGCAAAAGAGAGTTTGCAATAAATTGAACAGTGCTATGGAAATTCTCCGACTAAAGGTTGGTTTTTTATGGATTTTTCAGTTATGGAACTTCTAATTGCTTTTTGTTTATATGTTCCTTTTTTTAATTAGGGAATAATTCATTTCCTTAGGGATGAAACTCCTAGCTCAATTCAGTGCGTTAATGAACTATATGATATCTTTTCTATCCCTCCATCAAATTCTGAAAAACTTGGGGCAGTAGGTGTTCGTCTCATTTTCATTGGTGAGTTAGTTTATGGGCTTTTACTACTGCCTGATTCAATTAATCAGTCATAGTGATTGAGTATTAGGGTCCCCTATTACACGTTAAGTTTTTAATTATGCCTCATTTCAGCACTTATTGACTTATTGTAACTAGCGGTACACTTTTTCTCTTTTTTAGGTCGAAATTTGGATCGAGACGTGCTGCTTGAAAATATTAACTTGTGTATCTAATAATCATGTGATAAGTATTGATATTCATATATTTCTAAAATTTGTATTCCGGTGTTTGCATTCCTTTAAAAGGGTGCTCAGGATGCTGCTCTTTCTTCCTTTTGGTAAGACTGTCAAGCCATAATGTGATACAAGTCGGCATTTACTTCCTACTTTCTAACTTTCATCCAAAGTTTGTCCACTGATGGTAACATGTATATATCCTTATTATAATATGTTGTCAGGCCATGTTATCGAGTACACTACGGCTTTCTGGCCACCAAAGAGAGAAGGAAACAGAGATTTAGCCAAGTCAGACCACGTTTATTGTTGCATGTAAGGATTTATTTGTAAGTCGGAAATTGGTTTGGTTGGGTGGTTTTCGGCAGAAGAAGACTGGACCAAACTCGTAGCCCCAATGCTCGTGGCATAAGTTAAATCGCTCGTGATATTTCATCTGCATTCACCCCCACCTCCCACCATGTGTATGTGTGGTTGCTTTACCCATTTTCCCAACTCTCCGATATAATCTCCCATTCACCTCATAAGGTTTCGTTTTCCGCTTCTTTCATCTGCGTCACCCACCTGCCACCTGCGTGTTTCTGACACCTTTCTATCCAATTCGACGGTACAGTGTTATTTCTGGTACTATTAGTGTGAGAATATAGATTTCGAAATAATCTTTTGCAAACAGGCCTTCCACAGGGAGCTGTCACAAGCTGCACTCTTACAGGCCTTCCACAGGGAGCTGTCACAAGCTGCACTCTTTTTTCCACAGGGAGCTGTCACAACCTGCACTCTTTTCAATGTTGACAGGGAGCTGTCACAAGCTGCACTCTTTTCAATGTCTTCATCGATATACAAACAGTCACGGGCATCAAGTACTTACTTTATGCAGACAATCTTGTTCTATGGTATATCGCCCGTAAAAAAACGCTCAGAAAAGTACCGAAAGTGCCATGAATTATGCACTTAAACTAGTGCGACAACAATGGAATGGCTATCAACACCACGAAAACTGCATTCCAAACATTTTCACTGGCCCGCCACTGCATAAATCCGCATTTACGGTACAAGGATACTTCTCCAGAAAAACCAACGAGTTCACTTATCTCGGAATGACGTTTGACACAAAGCTAACATGGGAAAGCCACGCTGCTAAAGTGGCAGAACGAGTTTCCAAAAGACTGAACGTACTGAAGCGTCTCGCTGGTAGCATATGGAGATGTGCACGCTCAACCCTAAATACCATTTACAAGATGTTTGTTCAACCAATAATGCTGTCTTGCTATGTGCCACTCACTACAGCCTCTGAGGTGATTCGCAAACCACTAGAGAATGCGCACAACCAGGCATTGCGACTAATTACTGGAGGGATAAAATCAACACCCAAATTACGACCAATTACTGGAGGGATAAAATCAACACCCATTGAGCCAATGCTCTAGTTACAGGAAGACACCACAATAGGCTCCCTTATCAAGAAGGTTACACGAAGCACCACAATAGGTTCCCTTATCAAAAAGAAGGCCTTGACCCTGTATGAGAAGCTGCTGAACATTCCCATTGATAAATTCTTCAGCGCCCATTAGAATAGACCAAGACATCTGAAAACGCAATCTGGTTTAATACAGAAAGCCATAGAATTGAAGAAAGAATTACAAATCGATGACAAACCAAAAAGCCTCCCTCTACCCATGAACCCATTAGCAGACACTGATGTAGTGTGTTGCTTCCAAATGTTTGACTACTTCAGGAAAGCAAACACCCCTTGAGACAATCAATGTCAACTATCCTGCAGATCAATGGCTCCAGGTCTTCACTGATGGGCCATACACAGTAAACCAAGCCAACGTTGGCGCAGGTGTTTACTCTGAACTCTTCTCTTTCTACGCAGCAGCGCGACACAATGGATCCGCATTCGAAGGAGAAATAGAAGCTATTAAGATAACACTAGGCCAATTTCGCTGCCTGGATAAGAAATTCGCCAAAGCAGTAATACTGTCGGACTCACGGGCAGCAATAAACTCAATTGGAAGCAGAGAACCACCCAATACAGCCGAGATATACGAATGTAAAAAAGTGCATCAGTTGTTGAGAGAAAAAAACAAAGCAGCAGTTCTACAATCGATCCCTGGACATTTTGGCATTATTGTCAATGAGCGTGCTGACGCACTTGCTAAGATGGGGACTACAATTTTGCAAGGCATAGACAGGCCGATGTTTTTCCAAAAAAATGAAGTCCTTAATCAGGGGAGAATTCAAGACTTTAAGGTACAATGAACTTAAAGCTCGAACAAAGGAGAAATAGTGGACAATGGCACTCTCCAACATATTGACTGGCTAAGAATCGAAGCTATTGCAGAGTTTAGACTGGCGAAGCGCCTTCACGGAATAGACGCATAAGCTTAACCACCATATCCCAATATGTGACCTGCAGGAGGAAATGGAGAAGACTCACCTGATCCGATGCCCCGCCCAGAGATACTGGGAAGCCAGAAGACAACTAATGAACTGTCCTAAAGCTTAAATATATGTTCCACCTCCCTCCCCCCCCCTCCCCACCTTGTGAAAGCTGAAGTCAACAAAGGGGCTAATGATAAATATCATAAAGACTGCCATTTGAAATAGTAATAGAGTTGTAATTTTTTCTGGGATTGCATACCTTAATTTTTTAAAATGCATTAAAGTTTTTCATGAGGAATTTTACAGCATCAATCGAAATGCAGCGCACAGGCAGACCTTTAGGCTTTTGCTTTACTATTTTAAGAACATTTATATTTTGAATTTAAGTGTCAAAATATCAAGAATTCCTGTGCAGAGAACAAATGCGCTGTCTTTCAATGTACCCTTTATCGCAAACAATGAACGCGCTTGCAGTGGACATAAGTAGTCCTTAGCCCTGTTGCAATATTTCGAAAATATTTTCAATGTTCTCACAGCTACCCGGGTGCTTAATGAGCATGAATTCGAATCAATAAGCAATAGATTTGAGCATTTAACTGCCAAAAACGGATCTTAATGTAATTTCATCCGATAAAAGCTGCCAAAAATTGGCGGTGATGTCATTCTTCTAATATTCATTATTTATTTAGTAGTTCTAATTTCATGCTGCTCTGAGTATTGCGTTCGATCTTCAAGGAAAAATCATGAATGGAAACTCAAAAGGCACCGAAGATGGTCTTAATCGCTGAAAAATCTCTCAATTGTACAAAATATGAAAGCCATCAGTCTCTTTATCATATTATCACCCTTACCATGATCTTTATGTAAGCGTAATTATTGGCATAAATCTGTTAGTTCAAGGGGTAAATTAAATCTCCTGAAATATTTATTCTTTTCAAAAAAAAGTTGTTCAAAATTATAAAGGTTTTAGCCCATGTCGATAGCTATTAGATTACTCTTGAAAGTTAACTTTTCCTCTAGAATTTCAGAAAATTCACATTTATTTCATTACAATCATTAACATAAATTAGTTGAAATACATTTCATGTCTGTCATATGAACGTTTTAGTGACAAATATACATTTTATAAACACTCAACATCCTGAGGACTTGAGACAATAGCATATATTGCAGGTATGAATTGATTTTTCATCCTCCTAAAAGGAGGAGCTACTTCGAAGACGAGTCGGGGACGAACTCAGAACCCATCTACCTACCCGATGATGTTAGAAAAATTATGGAAGAAGAAGATCAAACAAAAGCTCTTTCATAAATTTATTTTTAAATCTTAACTATATGTGATAAGACAAGGTAGATAAAGTAGACTTATGACGGATCTTTAAAAACATTTGTATATGCTTAATTACAACAAGCTTTAATTGCATATATTTTATAAACAGATGTTTTTTTATGAAATTAGAACTAATTCAAATCGACTCATTAGTACTTTTAGTATCGATCTTTAATATTAGGGCATTTGAAAGCAAACGTAAAATTGCGTCGATAAGAGTAATTTAGTCTACTTAGTTAAAATAACTGATGGGACCTATAATTTTTTTAATTACTGAGCATATAGTTTAAATTGTAGCGACAAGTTAATAAATCATTAAATTTTGCAATAACAAGGTGGCAAATATTAGCTTCGTTATTAATTAGATTTAGCGAGTTGAGGAATTAATTTAGGGGTTGTTGACCAAAGCAATCACCATTTATCTTATATATACACGCTTTATTTCGTGTTAAAGTTGATCGCTTTCAGAAATCTACTAGCTCAAATATATCATGATGTTACACATACGAGTAAAATATTTATAATTTACATTTATAATTCCTTAATTTATCGATTTGCATAGCTTGAAACTATTGTCTATATTTTTTAACTTGATTGACTATTATGAAAGCGAAGATTTTTCCTCCGCTGACTGAAATTAAAATATAGGTTAATTCATATTTTAATGAAAAATATACTATATTTTCTGCTGAAGATTTTCTAAAAGATGAACATAAATATATTATTGTTTACTTACTTGGATGAATAAAGTTAGCTTATATTTTAATGCTTTAAAAGTTAATTCAGTCGTGGGTGCTGCATTTCGTTTCACGTCTAGTTAACATTCTATTTCTCCTTTACAAATTGCTATGCATATTCTTATAAATGTAATTTATATTGCTGTTTGATTTGCTTTTATGTGGTAGTTACTGATTTACATGGAAATAGTTTATCAATGAGCGCGCCTATTTGTGGAAGGAAATAAATATTACGTTTGATTTTATCCATTCATCTATTCTTGGGAGGTTGCGTAATTATTATTGGCTGGGAATTCAGCTTCGAATCCATTGAGTTATTATTATGAGGCATCTATTGGAATGAAATTTATATGCTCTAGCTTTTATAGAAATGAGGAAGGATCAGCGTTGATATGCTAACCCAGTGAACGAAGTTTCTGAAGAAACTTCAAGTTAATGTCAAAGAAATATTATCGGGTATGCAGCGAAGACAGTCACAGTGTAGTTTGTCAATTCTATTATGTTAAAATGCAAGTTAACAACACTCCGTTGAATGAACCGAAAATTCACGACATTCTGAAAATGTCTTTCCACACTCAAAAGTGGGAAGATAGCATTTCAGTAATTACATTTTTTAGTGCATAAGTGATAGCCAATCTGTATGACCCTAGTGAAAAATTCAGATCAATCAGATGTTGGAATGTCAAAAGGGATCCCTTGACAATTTCCCAGTCAAAGTAAGTAAGATAACAATGTCTTTGCAATTTCCAATTACTTATGCATGATTAAAAAAATAACTTAATCTACGTGTCAGGTCGAATCGAAATTCTAACAACGTCTGAAGATTGCGGCCATGAGCACATTTAGAAAACCGCGATCAAATTGAGAAGCCTTAGATAGGTAGAATGGACGTTAATGAAAGTGTATAATAATGCAGGTGAATGTTGCACCATAGGAGAATGTGTTTCCAGTAGTAAAATGAACAGCAATTGGTCCCGCAATGGAACAATCACATTTAGAAGCAACAAAGTTTGTGCTTTTTTGTGATTACCTCTTCAAGATACCTCGCAACGAATGAAATGCAATGGGACTTTAGAAAATGAGCAATGCATAAAGCAAAATAATCCTAATGATATTTGCTAGGTGGGGTGCGTGATAGACTTACCTCCACGGGGTGCACCCTGGGCAACGT